ATAAGGAAATCGTATGTACTCGTAAGAACAAATTTATATTCCTCTAAGAAGGTTTCCTGTTTCATATTGAGGTAAATAATTCGGAATTAGTTTGTGGGATTTTAGTTTGTAGTGAATCTTGAAAGTAATAAATATACACAGAATTAATCACATTTAAGTCTGATTGGAGAAATGTACTGGTATATGCCCAGCATCTTAGGGAGTAATCTAACTACAATATACCGATTTCAATTTCTTTAGAGAAAAATCGATTAGAGCCAAACAATCTACATTGTATCAAGACGTACTGCCAAGTCATAGTCATTCAGAGTTAAATTCAGATTCGTCACACAAAATCTGATTTCTACTACAGGAGAGTGAAATCTGGCTTTACTGTAATAGGTGTGGAAAAGATATGAATGAAAATTAATACCTTCAAAATACTGGAGAGGTTTTTGAGCGGTTTCGAACATAGATTCGTTAGAAATACATGTATTTCTGACAAAGACATATCCGAACCCGGTTAAATAAATCTATTGTATTGTGAAATTCATTCTCATTCATACCTTTTCGTTAGAAATACATGTATTCCTAACGAACATATATTGAAAACCGGTCAGAAGCGTCTTTTTTATTGTATAGATATTTTTCAACATGAATACTCTTTATCTTTATCATAATTTTAGGCGATCGAGTGTCCGAAAGCTCAGTTGGTAGTTTCAGCTTTTGATACCGGCCTTGACTACTGAAGTGGGTTTTTGAATTACGCTTCATATACGGGAGCAGTCAGCTGTACAGGCGTTGGAAGATATTTGTGTCGAGAATCCGCTGGTGGTGAGCTACCTCGGATAAGCTGAGTGGTTCTCTCATGGCCGAGTGCATTCTGCTGGGAGAAGATAGTGTCATACTCCTATTAACTAAGAACCTCACTGTGACAACGAGGATTCTTTTGGATGGTTTTCCCGCGTGATGCGCATGCTCATGCATGCGCATTTTCTCTATATTTTTTCCTAAATTAGTTTGACTACTATGTGTTGTTTCGTTTCGTGTTCTTGTTCTGTTGTTCAGCGGTTCTCAAGCCGCGTGACCATACAGTCCGCTTAACTAACTGCTCCATCAAGGTCCTTCGTCTGCGTAAAAGGAGCATAAGTTTGTAAAATCAACCTCCAAACAGAGAGCTCGTGACATAAACGGATGAAGCGCACTAAAAAAAAAAAAAATAAAGAAAAAAAAAATAATAATAATAATAATTCGCACGTTTTATCGACAGACTGGCGCCAGAGTATTCAACTGAAAAATAATCAATAATCTGCCAGGTGATTATTTAAGCAGTTGCGCATGATTGAGCCGCGGAATTACATGTATTCACTGGGTGACGAAACCTTGAACTCGTGACAGAGGTTGCATCAGGAAGACAAGACAAACAAACAGATTTAGAGGAGAGAGTGAGACAGTGACAGGGAAAGTACTTATTAATTAACAGGAAAATCATTGGTTTTGATGGCTTAAGACCGCGTATGTGACTCAAGTAATTTTCTAAACCATTAAAATGAACCAGAAAAAAAAAGGCACCACATTGGTCTTTTTAGAACTCATAAATAGATTCAGAGAGATTACACATATTGGATCAATTACTGAGCTACGATTAAGCTATGATATTTATGATTTTTATTACCAGAATGAAATTTATTAGACTTTATGATCTATGTCAGACTTTTAAAAATAGAATGTGGCGTTTCTAACTTGTTTATTGAGTTTTAGGTGTTAGTTTCTTATTCATTTATATGTGTTATTAGTGCAACAATTTTTCTTTGTTTCTCACAAGACACACGAACAAATTTATGGCTTGTTTGCGCGAACTCTTTTGATTATTGTTGGGAAAATGAAGGCGATTCTTTGGATGATCTTATAAAATTGTGTCCCGTGAGTATAGTCAAAGAAAACGGAGGACAAAGCTTACCAACGAGTACTAATATGTCTCTTTTCTTTTCTTTATTTTCGTTTTCGTAACCTAGGAAAAATTTTCATACGAAGAGAGAAAACGTTTCGCTTTTAGATTTTCTTTTTATACTTCAACAAGAGAAAAATACTCGATTTTCTAGCGTCTACGGTATCGTTATTTCCACATTTATTTCCTATTTTGAATATGATAAGCCGTCACGTAACCTATATGCGAGGCTAAGAAAGCTTTTCCTACACTTTCGAAGTCATTGCTTGATAGCAGACAAGCACGGTGTCCCTCCACTCCACATAGCCTTCAGTGTCGCTTATGTTCTTGACAAGAATATTTCCTTTACTTAGGAATTTATAGATTTGATAAATCGATTTGAATAGCAATACATTGTTCTTATTATAACTGACTACGCTCAGTTTTTGTCTTATTTTATTACATGTATTACCATTTTTCCATAGTAAAAATATCTCTAACATTAATAAGCATCCCCTATTAATCGATTCACTGACCCCCCCCCTCTTTGAAAGGAAAAGAAAAAAGAAAGAAAGAAAAGGAAGAAAAAATATATATACATAATATTTATCAACTAAATCCTATGGCATTTTGCGCAAGAAGAGGTTCAAAATGTGTATGGAATATAAAACCAAAGATTCTAAATGGAGTGTTAAACAACTGCCTTTTTTCACACACAACGAATACACACATTGATGCGGCATTCATGCATTCACATTGACCCTGCAAAGTTTCGTGTTCAGTTGATATTCTAAAATGATTCTGAAGTAGCATATTTTCTGTTTATTGAATCCGTGCTTCGAGGGGATGAATAAATAGTCCTCACTTTATTAGTTCACATTCATAGTAAGATTATATATAAGAACTTTGTTGTGGAATAAAATACAAGTATGCCATTTTTTCTATGCATAAATATGTCTGTAAGCAAAAAAAAAATGAAAATTAAAAACTGCATAAATGACAAATAATAGTAGAGAGCGAGATCAAATGACTATTTTATCAGAACGATTTTCTTTTTTAAAATATAAGATATACAGGACATGTATTCGATTGTGGATACATCTAGAAACGCCAAGATTTAAGGAAAAATAACAGTGAAAACTATAATCAGATTTTAGCCTAAGATAAACATTCAAAATAACCGAATTATACATACTGATGAAGCATCTTTACATTATATAATGAAGAATATAATGTAGCATGGTTTCTGTTTATGGATGTTTAAATTATGAAACTTTTTTTCCTGTTTCAAGAAATATGCAGCTTGAATTATTGATACTTGCTGCGTTGAAACCTGAAAGAAAGAGGAAATGCCGTAATCCCATATTACGGGTACACACACACATCTATCTATCTATCTATCTACAGTTGTGTGTGTAAATACATGCATGCAAGTGTGTATGTATATATATATATATATATATATATATATATATATATATATATATATATATATATATATATAATACATATATATGTGTGTGTGTGGTGTGTGTGTGTGTGTGTTGTGTGTGTGTGTGTGTGTGTGTGTGTAAACAAATGTACATATATATGTATGACATACACAAAGCTTTGATATTACTTCCAATACTTATAGGTGTTCCATTCCTATTAATCTGAGGTGAATGGTTACAGGTGGACTGCGGTTGAAATCGGCAGATAATCTTGAATGATCTCAGGAGTTTGTCAGTAAATGTAATATGTAATATAAATGTATGAAAGAAACATAAGTGTAATATGCAAGAACTTTCCAACGATAGGTCTGCTTCCTGACAGCAGAGCCTTGCAAACAGAAAGTCAAAAATGCAAGTTATTACTCATCTTCCTAGTGAGCCACGGGAAATTGGTGTTTTAATGACAGCATGTGCATGTGTTCCTATTATAGTATGTGGTGTTTCTCCATGACCTCTGTGAAACAACAGATTTTTTAATCAAACACTGACTGCTGCACATAATTAGAGCAGACTCAGTACATGCAATATTTGCTTGAAAATCTGTATACCCCAATGCTCTCATATCGCATTCCTAATATGATCATCCCTGTATATGATGCAAGTTATCCAAGAAACATGAATTTGGTAGAGAGGGTATTTAATTTGTGTCAGAGAAGATTGATTGTGACAGTTTTCACATAACACATGGTCATTTAACAATGGGATATTCCAACAAATGAACGTGTGAATAGTAATACTATTAATGATTAAAATGACAATGTGGGAAATAACTGTTAAAATTGGCAGGTGAAAAGGGCTGAGGGGGGAAAAGGCAGACATAAATACTGTCTTCATAAATCCTGCATATTCATATATGCATGCTTGTATATGTTAGATCTAATATTTGTGCATGCGAGTGAATGAATGATGTGGTTAGTCAACATAATTTAAACACTTTCATAAGATTAGCTATACGTTAGGAAATGATTAATGGGCATTCAAGTGATAGTCTAGCTAAAAAAAAAAAAATCAACACGCATCAGATTTCGCTGGATGGAAGCGGTTATTGTCGAAGTTAGCCCTTTCCGTGGCGGCCAAACCGGCGGTCTCTGTCGTTGCCTCTTTTTTAAGAGTAAAAATTCGGGTCTTTCGTGAGCGCCAGACCGCGAGCGCCTTCGTTCGACAACCTGTTCGAGGGTTTGGAAGCCCTAAGTGCCAATAAGTGCCAAGACACCGTAATCTTAGGGAAGAAGCGACTGGCCCGGGCTAAGGCTCACAAAGATTGGACATGATTTAGTGAAATGCAAATTCATGCATGGAAAAAAAAATGTTAGTTACATAATACTACATCTGATATGATGTTCATATTTGGTTCCAAAGCAAGATCAGAAAAAGTCCATGTTGGATATATATGTGTGTGTGTGTGTGTGTGTGTGTGTGTGTGTGTGTGTGTGTGTGTGTGTGTGTGTGTGTACATGTGTGCGTATACACACACACACACACACACACTGCATACACTGTATACAGTCCACTGTACGAGAGTGTGTTTCATTTGATTTTTATTATTATTATTATTATTATTATTATTATCATTATTTACAATAGGAATATTCAAATGCAGCTTGACAATTTGCAAATCTTTATTGAAATCAACGCCAATATAGCCAATGTTCCAAACACATTACCTTCAAGCTAATATTTAAAAAGATTTGCAGGCTAGACTCTTATGACAGCTCGATCCAAACTCATGTGCCTTGAACACCTGTTGGGTAGAGATTCAAGTTTCAGTACGTTATAATCGTCTCTCTCACTCAGTCACTCTACGACCCTCTCTTCTCTCTCACTCTACGACCCTCTCTCTCTCTCTCACTCTCTCTCTCTCTCTCTCTACTCTACGACCCTCTCTCTCTCTCTCTCTTTATCTATCTATCTCTTGCTCTCTCTCTCTTCCTCTCTCTCTCTCTCTCTCTCTCTCTCTTCTCTCTCTCCTCTCATCATCAGTTGAGAAGAGATTCAAGTTTGAGAAAATATTCGTGTCCTCTCTCCTTCCTACTCTCTCCCCCCCCCTTCTCTCTCTCTTTTCTCTCTCTCTCTCTCTCTATATATATATATATATATACATATATATATATATATATATTATATATATATATATATATATATATATATATATATATATATTTCCTCCGAACTCTCTGTACGTCCCTCTCTCATTCTCTCTACGTCCCTCTCTCTCTCCCCTTCTCCGCGACTTTCCTCCCTCTCCCTTCAGTCTTAACCCCACTCTCCCCTCTCAGAACAGACACCACGAGAGGAAATGTACCTGGAACAACGAAGGGAAGGGCAAGAAAACGCACGAACATGTGTTTTCTTGCCCTTCCCTTCGCTGTTCCTGTTGCAATCTGTTCGTCATGAAGTCCACACGAGAGGAAATGTACCTGGAACGCAACAGAAACAGAAATCGTTGCCACAGATCCCGGGAAGTGCGGTCTCTTCAGTCGTGCACGCTAGTCTGCAGAATCCTTTTCTGTCGCGGCATTCTTGGGTCTCGGGACATTTGCCTTTGGGTGTGAAAAAAAATAATGATTATTTTTTCCGATTGTACGATTTTCGTTTTTAGTTTTTAGGTTTTCATTCTTTATCGTAATCATTATTAGTTTCGGTATTTCTATCACTAGCATTATAATAATAATCATCATTATTATCTTAATTACTATTAGTGCTATCATTCCCATTATTTTTATTAGTGTATCATTACTGTTATTATTATCATAACCTATCCTTCCTGTTATTATTATCATAAATTATCATTACTAATATTTTTATCATGTATCATTATTATTACCATTATTATTATCAGCACAATTGTTATTATTCTTGTTATATTCTTTATTATAATCATTATTAGTATTACTATTGGTAGAAGTAATAGTAGTCGTAGTAATTTTATCATCATCATTACTAATACTATTATTACCATTATCATTACTTTCATTATTATTATCATTATTTCTATTATTACTATTATTATCATTATCATTATCATTATCATTCTTATTAATATTTCATTATCATTATTATCATTATCATTATTATCATTATTATTATTATTACCCATCATTTACATATCAATGTTACTGCTATTGCTGTTGTTATTATTATTACCATAGTCATTATTATATTTTCTATCATCGTTGTTATTGCAATCAATATGATAGTTATTTTATCATGATCATGGATATGTTACTTATAATCATATTTTCCATTATTTGACAATTTGTATCGCTTCTTTCAATAATCATCTATATAACATTATCTTAATTTGATATTGTAATTGCAATTATCATTATCATGAAATTCCTTACTACTTTGCTTATCACTCCTTTCATTCTCATTAATATCATCAATATCACTGATATCACCATAATCATTATATTTTTCACTATTTCGTGTCATTTTATTACTTTTGTTATCATTAAAGGTATTATTATTACTGTTACCATTTTTATTATGCCATTATTATTATCGTCATCATGACTTTTATCATTATCATCAATATCGTTATGATTGGTATGATTATCATTATTATTCATATTATTTCTTATTATCATTATCATCATCAATATTTCATTTGGTAATCATTATCATTATTACCATTGATATAATTCCTATCATTGTTGTTATCACTTTTATCCTTAAAATCAATATTATTTGATATTATTTATCATTACAAATATTTCCAGTGTCATCATTATTCCTGTTACTTTCATTGTCATTACTTTATCATCATTAGAAGTAGTAGTAGTAACACCATTATCATTATCCCATAATTATTATCATCAATATTTTTATCATTATCCTTGTTACTGTTATTATAATCTCTATTTTCATTATTATTACTACTACTATCATTCCTACAACCACTTTCATTGTCATTATCATAATTGTTATTCATATTATCATTATGATCATCATTATCTTCATCATCATTAATATCATTATCATTATCATCACAAGTTTTGCTATGACTGTAATCTGTATTCTCATTACTATTATTATTAGTATTGTCATTTTTGTTGTTGTTCTTGTTGTTCGTCGCAATAGTCACAGTCACCATCACTTTTATCATGTTGCTCTACCTTTCATCATATTGCTATTGTTATCATTATTCATTATCTATCGCTCTTATCACTTTTTTCTTATTATCAATACTCAGATTACATTCATCTGTATCACTATTACTGAAATCATTATCTTCACCACCGTTTTTTTTAGAATATTAATTGCTATTACCATCGTTATTATTATTGTCCTTGTTGCTGTTATCACTGCTATATAATGATAGGTTTTTATTACCACTGTCGTTTTCACACTTAAGAGGTTGTCTGCTGATGTTGCGATGTTTTCAGTGGGAGTTTTCGGTCAACTTTGCAATGCTGTAGCTCTACGCGACTCTCCCGTATTATCAAGTAAATGTTAGTCAACACAGCCTAAACTACATACCTTCACCACCCCCCCCCTCATCCCCCACAAAGAGCTGCAGCCATCACGGTCTTCAATCCATTTGATCAATCCTTTATCCGAAGAAGAAACTTACCCTCGGTGCAGCAAGTACAGCCGTCGAGGCAAATGTTATCGACTTTGTCTTCTCCCTCCACGCAGGACACGTCGCAGCGGCCGTCCGCCAGTTGGCATTCGGAAGTCTGCACGCAGTCCGTCTCTGAAACAGGTGAATTTGAGATGTATGGGGCATAGGGGAGGCAGTGAATTGGGAATGTATTCTCTCTCTCTCTCTCTCTCTCTCTCTCTCTCTCTCTCTCTCTCTCTCTCTCTCTCTCTCTCTCTCTTCTCTCTCCTCCCTCCTCTCCCTCCTCGCCTCCTCCCTCCCTCCCTCCCTCCCCTCCCTCCTCCCTCCTCCCTCTCCCTCCCTCCTCCCTCCACGTTATCATTTCGCTATCAATATCTTTAATTTTCTCTCTACTTATAGTTCTTACAAGTACGAATACCAAAGAGATCAGAGGCGGCCTACCCCTGACGCAGCAGGAGCAGTTGTCGTACTTGCAGAGCCCCGACAAAGCCTGTTCGCCTTCCATGCACTTGTGGTTGCAGTATCCGTGTCTGGAGAGACACTGTTGCTCCAAATCGGGACAAGGATCTGTCTCTGCAGTGAGGATGGATTAGTGACTGATTAGTGACTGGTGTTTAGATGATGATACTGATAATAACATTGATGGGTATGACGATGATGATAGGTATTGGAAGGATGGATAGGAACCTTCAAATATATGTCGTAAGAAGCTTTTAGTAATAGCGATTTATGAAAAAAATCAGTCATGGATGTAAATATCCGATGGTATATTTTCTCTTTTATTACCGTCAAAATCATTTTGCATTATTGCTATTATCATTATTATTATCAACACGGGTCTGTTGACTCTGGAATGGCGATCATATCCATAATAAGGTTAAAAAAAAATCATGTAGATAAATGATACAGAGTCCATATATGTTTCATGAAGGAAACCATCGCTTGCGAGATCCTCATCACCTATCATTTCGCTGTCAGTATTTAAAATTCTCTATTTACTTATATATTTTTTTTCAAGTACGAATATAAATAAAATACAAATCTACTTACCTGCAATGATTTCGCATCAAAATAGTCTTATAGTACAGATTGGAAAACAAACAAAATAGCCTACTCTTGACACAGCAGAAGCAGTCATCGTGCGTGCAGAGTCCCGAAAGAGGTTCTTCGTCAGACATGCACGTGTGGTTGCAGTATCCGTGTCTGGAGAGACACTGTTGCTCCAAATCGGGACAAGGATCTGTCTCTGCAATGAGGATGGATTAGTGACTGATTAGTGACTTATGTTTAGATGATGATACTGATAATAACATTGATGAGTGTGATGATGATGATAGTATTGGAAGGATGGAAAGGGACCTTCAATTATATGTCAAAACAAGCTTTTAGTAATAGCGAAATTTATGAAAACATCAGTCATGGATGTAACTATACTTATATCTATACTTATATGGTATATTTTATTTTTTTTACCGTCATAATCATTTGCATTATTGCTATTATCATCATTATCATCAACATTATCTTCACCAACATTAACCATTTTCACTATTATTATCATTATTATCAGTGTTGCTTTTATTATCAAGTAGATAAATGACACAGATTCCATATATTGCAATGTTTCATGAAGGAAACCCATTCGCTTGCGAGATCCTCATCACCTATCATTTCGCTGTCAGTATTTAAAATTCTCTATTTACTATATATTTTTTTCAAGTACGAATATGAATAAAAATACAAAACTACTTACCTGCAATGATTTCGCATCAAAATAGTCTTATAGTACAGATTGGAAAACAAACGAAATAGCCTACTCTTGACACAGCAGAAGCAGTCTTCGTGCGTGCAGAGTCCCGAAAGAGGTTCTTCGTCAGAATTGCACTCGTGGCTGCAGTATCCACCAGTGGCGTTTGCACTGCATGTTCAGATCTGGAAGGATCTGTTGACCTGGAGTGCCACGCATAGCAAAATCATTCAGAAGACGGTAAGGGAAGAGGCAAACACAGAAGCTGGATATTTGATAGTTGATAGGCTAAGTGAGTAAGGACCGATTTCTTGCATAAGCTTCATGAAGACGACTCGCCTCTGGCCTGGTTTGCGCTTTGTAAAGATTTATACATCGTAGAGAGAATAATTAAAGATATTTAGTAGCGGAAATGATTAGGGTGTTGAGGAGGGCGGTTGAGGGTCTCGCCTGTGAGAACAGGCCCGACTACTAGACGGTCGTATTCATTTCATCGATGACTAGCTAATTGCACTATTAAATTAATCTGCTGAGACTTATAATTCCCTTTTACATGATTTGACGCACGTAATTTAATCACTAGAGACCAGAGACGGCCTTCCCTTGAAACATGCAAGAAGAAGACGCAGTTCATCGTGCTGTTGTCAGAGTCTGGCATGAGCTTCCTCTGTCAGATCAGGCACGATAGTGGTTGTCAGTATCGCGTGTCTGGATAAGACCTGGTTGCTATCAGAGTATCGGGAAAAGAGGATCCGTCTCTGCAGTAGGGATGCGCATGTTAGTCCCAGACTGAGTGGATATCATGAGCAGTGCAGCCTGATCACTGGGTATTAATATTGATGTAGTGATGATGATGATTAAGATATTGGACGAATGGATAGGACCATCAATGGTATATGTCAATAGCAGCCCATTCTAGTAAATAGCGAAATTATATGAAATAACATCAGTCAGTGGATGATAACTATATACCTTATGGATCATCTATAGCTTGATAGGAGTAATACTCTTTATCTTTTTTTTCTTGTTGTTACCAGCTCTAATACATTCATGTTTGCATTAAATTCGGCTATTATCATTCTAATTATCAACAAAGGTTATACTATACACTGGGCTTCTGCTGTGTCAAAGAAGTAGGCTATGCTTATTGGTGGATTTTGTCGCTTATCCAAAAATATCGGTCATATAATAGCTATTATTGTCTTATTTTATGGTAATATGTGAATAATAATATTATCTATAATAGATCTATTACGGTAGTACGTTTGTGCTATTTATATAAATTCTATTCCGTGCATACTTGAATAAATATATTATTAAACGAATTTCGCATTATCAAGACTAGTCCTAAAAATTAGATTAACGGGGTAGTTAGTAAAAGCAAAGACAAAATAGCCTACCTCTGTGATCCAATTCAGCGCAAAAGGACGAGCAGTCATATGGCGTGGCTGAGAGCCGACTAGATGCTTTCCTCGTCAGACATTGCATACGTGTGGATTGCAGTAACCGTAGTCTGGAGAGTACACTGTGGGCTCAAATCAGGGAAAGGTATCTGTTCCCATTCATGAGTGAGGTGAGTCTGGATTGTAGTGATTGGATTTAGTGACTGGTGTTTAATGATTGATGATACTGATTATAATAATATAATCGATGAAGTTTAATAATTTGAATAGATCAGTAAGTTGGAAAGGATGGATAGCTTGGATCCGTCATATATTATATTGTCCAAAAACAAGCTTTTAGTAAATAGCGTAATTGCATGATAACACATCAAGTCCATGGCAATGTTAACCTATAACTATATAGTCTTACTGTAACATTTATGGTAGGTTTAATGTATTGCTTTTTAATCGCAACCGATGCGCACGGAATAATATTTTGCATATATTGCATTGATACATTCATTATTCACTCAACCATTATCATTTACACACAAAAACTATTAATTTGAACCGCAGTTAATTATACACAATATAATACATTTTATTAATCAAGTTGATTTGCTTCTTCATTACTATTGATAAAGCGTTATGTATGAATGAGAAATAAAAGCAAACGGTAGACACATTACCACTTGTGACGTTCAAGCAGGAGCAAAAACAAACATCCAAACTCAAGTAGATAAAGATCGTAGGGATGTTTACTATCATAATAAAGAGTTCCGACTATAAAATTACTGCAATCATTTCATTGATGATGGAAACTTCTTGGAATCACGTATGACTGTAGAGAATGCCGCTCCACTTCACCTATCATTCATTTCCAACAATCATTACAAATATCTATCAATGTTATTTATCAGTATAATCAACTCTAACATAAGTCACTAATGTCTACTAAATCCATCTCATTTTTGGCCACGCTAGTACAGCTAAGATTTCCTTAGAAATTTCTCCGGATTATTTGTAGAAGCTACGTGGTTTTTCTTCTCAGTTAGCACATCACCTAGAATAAAATACAAACACTACTCGGGTACACTGCAATGCATTCTGCATCAAAAGGAGGCATGCTCTAAGAGTACAATGATTTGGAACACACATAAACAAACACAGACCTAGAAACGCATAAACTCTTGTACACGCAGTGAGAGCAAGTTCCCTTGTGGCGTAGCAGAGACGATACGACGATAAGGACGCCGTTCTCGTCATGAACTGTGTTGCACTACACAAGGTGCGCTGGCAGTATATACCAGTTGGTCGTGTTTGCACGCAATGTTTCATGATCTGGTACAGAAGGATCTGTTGTAAACTGGAAGTATAGCAGCCAACTAGCATAATCAATAAATGACATTAGGAATAAAGGCTCCGATATTCGAATTATACAATGATATTAGAGACGAGGGTATCGATTAATGTGCAACAGCTTCTATGAATGACAGTACATTCGCTCTTATCATATTTCCTGCTTATATTCCGTAATATATTTTCTTGTAAAAATATATCTATCCCTACTTATAATGATAATTACTTATCAAGTCACAGCGAGAAATACATGTAAGATAAAGCCAGCCGCGTAAACCTTGCCGAAATGCGAGTAGGCATGGAAAGCATGTGCAACGTGATTGCGTTGTCAGCAGCGCCCGAAGGAGCTTAATGGTTCTTCCCCGCTCATGTCAATCGAATGCCAACTGTTGGTTGACATGGTGTCTCACGTGCTCTGGTGATGCCATTCTACTATCTTAGTTAGTTTTTTCCATTAATAGCTCGGGGTATTCAATAGGGGATATGTGCTGCGCTCCAATCTTTGCCCAAGAGGTCAACCGAGAGCAGTGGGATTAGTGATGCTGATATATAGATTGACTGGTGGGTATTAGCTGTAATGATATACTGATAATACATTGGATAGAGTATGAGCGAATAGGTTGATTGCAGGTAATTGATTTGTGGAAAGATGGACTAGGGATATCCTTCAAATATAAAATAGATCGTAAGAAAATACCTGACTCATAAGTACGGTAGCGATTATTTTATGAAAAAACTTTTCCAAGTTGGACTTGCACTATTTTGGATGTAAATTTTCTATGAATGGATATTCAGGCTTATAGCTTTCCTTAAGACATATTATTTTCTCTTATGGTTACCCTAGTCCAGAATCAATTTTGCATATTGCTTTATAAAATCTATGTAGATAAAATGATAATATCTATGAGTTCCCATTATATTTCGTTATCACTGAAGAAAACCCATCGCTTGCGAGATCCTCATCACCTCATCTGCATTTCGCTTTCAGTACTAAACATTCTCTATTTAACCTAAATCATATTTTTTCATAGTTACTGTAATTATTATTTTTCCATATTATTATAATTAAATATCTACACATTCCTTGCATGATTTCTGCAATCAAAATGTACTATACGACACAGGGGGATTAGGAAACATTAATGCAATACGGCTCTAGCACTCTTGACAAAGCATGAGCAGCATATTGATGCGAGGCAGTGGCAGAGTCGCTCCGCGAATAGAGAGATCTCTTCTAGTACATGCATCGTGTGGTGCAAGTAAATCCGTTTAGTTCTGGAGAGAACACTGTTGCTCCAAATCGTGGAGAACAATAAGGACTCTCGCCCGCTGCAGTGAGGGTGGTAATAGTGACTGATTCCTTATGTGTAGTGGTTATGTTTTAGGATTATGATAAACTGATAATAACAGTTGTAGTGAGTGTTGTAAATAATGAGAGTATAATATAGGAAGGATGGATAGGAGGACTCATATATAATTTATAGTGATCAAACAAAGCTTTTTAGTAATAAGGTTCTATAATTTATGAAATAATCATCAGTTTCACATTGTGATTTAACGTAGTATCGTTAGTATCATATTATACTTGGAGAGGTGAAATTTTATCACTATGAGCACATGTACGTAATCATTTTGCATTAATGCTATTATCATTATTATTTTTACAATCTAATAAATTTATCCTAACAGGAATCGACATTTCACTATATTATCCAATTAATTACAAGTGGTGCTTTTTTATATTTATCTATGATAAACGTAGTATGAATGCATAAGTAAACGGTAAACCATTAGCACTTAAGAATTATAGCCAGCTGGGGATGCAAAAATAATAAAAAGAGAGAGAGTTGCGAGAGTAGAGAATAATGATCAGCAGTTGGAGTCGCTAGCTATGTGCGAATGTTTTCAATGAAGGGAAACCCTATTGGCGTTGCAAGAGCCTCATGTCGTACTATCAGTAGTTGTGTATATATAGTGCTCTTAGTTTTAGACTGTGGATAAATATATAATATATATGTATGCGTATGTTAGTATAGGTGTGTGTTAGTTTGGTGTTCACGTGCTGTTATGTTGTTTGTTTTGTTGTTGTTGTTTTTGTTTTTGTTATAGGCGGTACGAAGAGTATTTAGATAAATGAATTACAGAATACGTTAGTGTATCGCTGTCAATGAATTTCGCATCAAATGATAGTGGTGTGGGTGTGTGTGTGTGGTCTTATAGTACATGTGTGGTGATTTTGGAGAATACAGATACAATAATATGGCTATCTCTGACCACATTGCAGAAGCAATGTTTGTCCTTTCGTGCGGTGAGAGTCCCGATATAAGAGGTCCTTCCGTTCAGGAATATTTGGCACTCGGTTGGCGTTGTGCAGTAGATCTCACTCAGATGCCGCGTTAGCTATCTGTCATGTTCAAATCTGGACAGGGATTTCTGTCTGGATCAACTGTGTAGGAGTATGCCACTCAATTAGCATCAATAAAGACACAACCCAAAAGCTCATATGAAATACATGAACAAAAATGGTCCATTTTATTGCGATGTAAGGCTTCCATGAAGACACTCCATTTCGCACTATCATGTTTTCGCTACTAAATTGATCTTTAATTATTTCTCTCATACTTATATAAATTCTTACAAGTACGCCGGATATACAAGACGGAGGCGGCCTAATTGTACTTGGCAGCAGATAAGACAGATCATCGTGCGTGGCTAGACGACCCCGACAGAGCTTCCCGTCAGACATGCCACCATGGTGGGTTCCTGTCAGTATCGTAATGCGTGTCTCTGGAGAGACACTGGTTGCTCCAAACGGGACAAGGTTCTGTCTCTGCAATGAGCCGAATGGAGTTATGTTGACTGAGATGAAGTGACCTAATGTATGCTTGATGATTAACATGATAATACTATTAGATATGAAGTATGGAGACGATAGGTATTGGAAGGGAAGCGAATAGGGAGACGTTTCAAATTATTATGCTGTCATTAGTCTGCACTAAGGCTTTAAAGCTGAATAGTGAAATTATATGAAAACATCAGTCAGGTGTAATCGTGATACCTGTATATCTAGATCTATAATAGTTGGTAATCCGTTTTTATCTTTTTTGTTAAGCCAGTCCATAATCATTTTTGCTTATTTATTTTCAGTCGTGATCATTAAAATCCATATATATTATTATCAAAACAAAAATCTACTTACCTGCAAATGATTTCGCATCAAAAATATGGTATATTACATTATTGCTTATTACAATCATTCCATATTACAAACAAATCCTAACTTACCTGCAATGATTCGCATCAAAATAGTTCTTATAGTACGATTGTAAAACAAACAAAATAGCTCTACTCTTGACACAGCAGAAGCAGGCTATCTCTGGTAGCGTAAGCAGAGTCGGCAACCGAAACGGAAGGTTCTTCGTCAGAATGCACATGCACGTGTGGTTGCAGGTTCCGTGGTGGAGGAGAGACATATTCGTCGTTCGGCGCGTCGGTGATGGCCCGATTCCGCGAGCACCAGAGAAGGGCGAGGGAACAAGCCGGTTCCGTCTCTGCAGTGAGGAGGAATGTAGTGGACTGGATAAGAAGTGACTGAAGTGTGTAGATGAGAAAAGGAAGAATAACTGCGAATAACAATGATCGAGGTGACGATGATGAGTAGGTAATAGTGTGGAAGGAATGGGATAGGAAACCATTCAAATATATGGTCGGTAAGAAGCTGAAGTGTAATAATGGAGAAAGGCGGAGAGTTGTATAGAAAGATGAGTCAGTGGAATGTAAAAGTAGTCCGAGGAGTAAATAGAGATTTTCACACTCTATTTATTTACCGTCAAAATTAACAATTTTGCATTATGTTGACATGATTTATCGTATTATTTAAATTATTATCTAACAAATCTACTTACCTTGCAAGTGATTATGCCATCAAAAATAGTAATAGTCATTATTGCGTATATTAATCAATTATTATTTAACAACAAATCTACATTACCTGTCAAATTATAGATTCGCATCAAAAATGAAAGTCTTATAGTACGGATGTAACCCAAACAAAATAGCCTACTCTTGAACCACAGCAGAAGGCAGTCATCGTGCGTGACAGAAGTCCCGAAAAGTGTTCTTTTGCGTCAGAAGCATGCGACGTGTGGTTGCAGTATCCGTGTATGAGCAGACACCCACTGTTGCCTCCCAATCGGGAACAAGGTTTCCGTCTCTGCAGTGAGGATGGATTAGTGACTGATTAGTGACCATAATGCATCGTTAGATGATGATATCTGCTAATAACATTGATGAGTGTGACGATAATGATAAGTATTGGAAGGATGAAAAAGGGACCTTCAATTATATGTCAAAACAAGCTTTTAGTAATAGCGAAATTTATGAAAACATCAGTCATGGATGTAACTATACTTATATCTATACTTATAGGGTATATTTTATCTTTTTTACCGTCATAATCATTTTGCATTATTGCTATTATCATCATTATCATCAACATTATCTTCACCAACATTAACCATTTTCACTATTATTATCATTATTATCAGTGTTGCTTTTATTATCATGATAAACGTAGTATGGATGCATAAGTAAACGGTAAACACATTACCCTTGACGCAGCAGGAGCAAAAAAAAAAAAAAAAGTAAGAAAATATGACACAGATTCCATATATTGCAATGTTTCATGAAGGAAACTCATCGCTTGCGAGATCCTCATCACCTATCATTTCCCTGTCAGTATTTAAAATTCTCTATTTACTTATATATATTTTTTCAAGTACGAATATGAATAAAAATACAAAACTACTTACCTGCAATGATTTCGCATCAAAATAGTCTTATAGTACAGATTGGAAAACAAACAAAATAGCCTACTCTTGACACAGCAGAAGCAGTCTTCGTGCGTGCAGAGTCCCGAAAGAGGTTCTTCGTCAGAATTGCACTCGTGGCTGCAGTATCCACCAGTGGCGTTGCACTGCATGTTCAGATCTGGACAGGGATCTGTTGACACTGGAGTAGCCACCATAGCATCAATAAAGACAACAACAAAGCTCATATTGATAAATGATACAAAGAGTCCATTTATTGCAAAGCTTCATGAATGACACTCATTCGCCTATCATTTCGCTACTAATATCTTTAATTTTCTCTCTACTTATAATTCTTACAAGTACGAATACCAGAGACCAGAGACAGAGGCGGCCTACCCTTGACGCAGCAGAAGCAGTCATCGTGCGTGCAGAGCCCCGACAGAGCTTCCTCGTCAGACATGCACGTGTGGTTGCAGTATCCGTGTCTGGAGAGACACTGTTGCTCCAAATCGGGACAAGGTTCTGTCTCTGCAGTGAGGGTGGATTAGTGACTGATGTTTAGATGATGATACTGATAATATTGATGAGTGTGATGATGATGATAAGTGAAGAATTGATCAGTATGACGATGGTGATAAGTATTGGAAGAAAAGATAAGATCATTGTCATTATCACAGTCACCATCATGTGTTCATTAACAGTGTTGCTTTTTATCATGATAAACGTAGTATGGATGTATAAGTAAACGGTAAACACATTACCTTGACACAGCAGGTGCAGTTTTTTTAGCGCAGAGCCCCGCCAGAGCCACTTCGCCAGACTGGCACTCGCGGTGGCAGTATCCCCCGGTGGCGTTGCACGCATGTTCAGATCTGGGCACGGGTCTGTTGACACTGGAATGGTGACCAATCCATAATAAGTTTTTAAAAAAATCAGTAGATAAATGATACAGAGTCCCATATATTTACAATGTTTCATGAAGGAAACCCATTCGCATGCGAGCTGTCAATATTTAAAAATTGCTGTATTTACTTACATATTTTTTTCAAGTACGAATACCAAAGAGATCAGAGGCGGCCTACCCTTGACGCAGCAGGAGCAGTTGTCGTACTTGCAGAGCCCCGACAGAGCTTCCTCGTCAGACATGCACGTGTGGTTGCAGTATCCGTGTCTGGAGAGACACTGTTGCTCCAAATCGGGACAAGGATCTGTCTCTGCAGTGAGGGTGGATTAGTGACTGATTAGTGACTGATGTTTAGATGATGATACTGATAACATTGATAAGTATGACGATGGTGATAAGTATTGGAAGAATAGATAAGATCATTGTCATTATCACAGTCACCATCATTGTCATTAACAGTGATGCTTTATTATCATGATAAACGTAGTATGGATGTATAAGTAAATGGTAAACACATTACCCTTGACACAGCAGGTGCAGTTTACGTGAGCGCAGAGCCCCGCCAGAGCCACTTCGCCAGACTGGCACTCGCGGTGGCAGTATCCCCCGGTGGCGTTGCACTGCATGTTCAGATCTGGGCACGGGTCTGTTGACACTGGAATGGTGACCAAAACCATAATAAGTTTTTTTTTTAAATCATGTAGATAGATGATACAGAGTCCATATATTACAATGTTTCATGAAGGAAACCCATTCGCATGCGAGCTGTCAATATTTAAAATTCTGTATTTACTTACATATTTTTTTTCAAGTATGAATACCAAAGAGATCAGAGGCGGCTTACCCTTGACGCAGCAGGAGCAGTTGTCGTACTTGCAGAGCCCCGACAGAGCTTCCTCGTCAGACATGCACGTGTGGTTGCAGTATCCGTGTCTGGAGTGACACTGTTGCTCCAAATCGGGACAAGGTTCTGTCTCTGCAATGAGGATGGATTAGTTCCTTGTGCTAATGCTTAGGTCAGGGTTGTCAAAGACGCGGCCGCCCTACTCCTATGTGCGGCCCGCGACATGTCAGCTGCGTCAATCTTACCGTCAGCCGTTTTACATGATTAATTAACCCAGTCCTTGGTCTTCTAAGATGATCACATACTTAGTTGTTGTTGTTGTTGTTTTTTAATGAATGTAATATCAAGGAGTGGCATACTCTTGGTCAACTGCTAATTGTGTCCCCTGGGAAGGTCATAACCGGCCCGCGTGCTGACAAGAATAATTATTATCCTGTGCAATTACGATCACCAATGAGGGAAGGTAACGCTATATACAATTTCATACCATTAGTATCTGGAAAGTGAATTAAACTTTATCAAACAAGTACTTAAGGTATGACCCTTTGTTGGCCTTCAAGGTGGTAGCTGAAGTTCGACACCCCTGGCTGAGTAGATGATGATTAAGACTATGACTGACTATGACTATGACTATGACTGACTATGACTATGACTGACTATGACTGACTATGACTATGACTGATGACTGACTGACTATGACTGACTATGACTATGACTGACTATGACTATGACTACTATGACTGACTGACTGACTATGACTGACTATGACTATGACTGACTATGACTATGACTATGACTGACTGACTATGACTGACTGATGACTGACTATGACTGACTGACTATGACTATGACTGACTGACTATGACTACTGACTGACTATGACTGACTATGACTATGACTGACTATGACTATGATGACTGATATGACTATGATGACTATGACTGACTATGACTGACTGACTATGACTATGACTGACTATACTATGACTGATATGACTGACTATGACTATGACTGACTATGACTATGACTGACTATGACTATGACTGACTATGACTATGACTGACTATGACTATGACTATGACTGACTATGACTATGACTGACTATGACTATGACTATGACTATGACTATGACTGACTGACTATGACTAATGACTGAACTGACTATGACTGACTATGACTGACTGACTATGACTATGACTGACTATGACTATGACTGGACTATGACTGACTATGACTATGACTGACTATGACTATGACTGACTATACTATGACTGACTATGACTATGACTGACTGATGACTATGACTGACTATGACTATGACTGACTATGACTATGACTGACTATATGACTATGACTGACTATGACTATGACTGACTATGACTATGACTGACTATGACTATGACTGACTATGACTATGACTGACTATGACTATGACTATGACTGACTATGACTATGACTGACTATGACTATGACTGACTATGACTATGACTGACTATGACTATGACTGACTATGACTGACTATGACTATGACTGACTACTGACTATGACTGACTGACTATGACTGACTATGACTATGACTGACTGACTGACTGATGACTGACTGATGACTATGACTGACTATGACTATGACTGACTATGACTATGACTGACTATGACTATGACTGACTATGAACTATGACTGACTACTATGACTATGACTGACTATGACTATGACTACTACTATGACTGACTATACTATGACTGACTGACTATGACTGACTATGACTGACTGACTATGACTATGACTGACTGACTATGACTGACTGACTATGACTATGACTATGGACTACTATGACTATGACTGACTATACTATGACTATGACTGACTATGACTATGACTGGACTATGACTATGACTATGACTGACTATGACTATGACTGACTATGACTATGACTATAACTAGGACTATGACTGACTATGAATGACTGACTATGACTATGACTGACTATGACTATTACTGACTACTATGACTGACTATGACTATTACTGACTATGACTATGACTATGACTAGACTACTATGACTATGACTGACTGACTATGACTGACTATCACTATGACTGACTATGACTACTATGACTATGACTGACTATGACTAACTGACTATGACTATTACTGACTATGACTATGACTGACTGATAACTATGACTGACTATGACTATGATTATGATGATGATGATATTGATACTAGTATTGGTGATAATGATAAGTGATGTGAATCATCAGATCACAAATGATACAAAGGCTTCAATAATAACAGAAATGAGGAAAACACCATTGATGGATATAATAATGCTTGTACCCGTCAGTGTTATTTATTTATCATTACCTTTTATCATTTACTATCATTGCTATCATCATCATTGACATTATCATTGGTATTATCAATATCACTAACATTATCATCATCATCAGTGCTGTTTTTAATATAATCATAAGAGCAGTATGGATACATGAGTAAACGGATAAATACATTACCCTGACACAGCAGGAGCAGTTTTCGTGAGCGCAGAGCCCCGTCAGAGCCACTTCGCCAGACTGGCACTCGCGGTGGCAGTATCCCCCGGTGGCGTTGCACTGCATGTTCAGATCTGGGCACGGGTCTGTTGTTCCTGGGAAATAACGGTAAGGACAATGGTAATGATGATAGTGTTATAATGAAGATTGCATTAAGATCTTCTATCTTCAAAGGAATTTAAACAGATAACAAATTAAAAAAATACAAGACTATTGAATAAACATATTGTTCTTGAGGTAAAAGCTTGGTAATTCATCAGAAATAGCTTAAACCACAATTGTAATTAGTACAGTAACAATCAGGAAGACACCACTAATAATGATAATGATACTAATGTTACAAAAAAAAAAAAAAAAAACATTAGTAAAAGAAAATGGAGCCATAACATGCCTACAAAGAATCGCAAATAAAGGCAGCTTTTGTCAGGTGTAAAAGACAAACAGGTCATTAGAAACGCAAGCATGACCATATCATAACAAACATCCCAATGATAATTACTACAATAGTAATGATAATAAAACCATAACAATAACACAGATCATGTTGGTTCACTTCAAGAACTGAAAAAGAAACAGGCAAGAGATATAGGACGAAAGAAAACAAATTAATTAAGCCTTTTGATGAGTTACAGCTACGGACCTGAAGCCTTACCTGCGCTATGCATGGGATTTAAACTGCCGTGATTTAGATATTTCAAAGAAAAATATAAAAATAGTAATAAGATAATCACTATGATCATAAAAAGCTGAATACAACAAAAAACAAATTAAAACATTAAAAAATTCATAAAACTACTGCAGTTCCATCATATCAGATTCATTTTCAGGAAATCGAAAGAAACATATTTGTTTGCTTGGTTACAGTAAATAGTTGCTAAAATATTCACTACCGATATTAACAAAGATGAAAATATTGTTGATTCCTTGTAGGATACCTTTTATTGTTAATATATTAATTAGTAAAGACCGGGAAAGAATTATATTCATTTAGTCTCTATTAAAAAGGTATCCTGTAATATAAAATAGAGCACATTATCATCACGTATATCATGCATCTATTTAAGAGCATGAATATGGATAGAAATGCAGAGTTACAGATATGTATTCATTTAAGTGTGTGTGTAGTTATACGTTTAGTCAGTTGTTAAGATATTTATCCATATACACATACATATATTTACTTCCTCGCAAGGAAAATCGCATTTAAATTCCATTTCGAAAACTCATTTCCACGATGTATGAACACTTTCAGCTTTCATTACACGATAGATATTCGAAGTAGGCTTAACAGATGACCATTACCAATCTCGTAAATTATAAATTTCCAAATACGAATTCACGCAGAGCGTCTAGTTGCTATCATTCTACCACCTTTTCCAATAAATATACGAATGCAATTGTAAAATAAACATTAAAAAATAAGTGGTCATCTATCCATTGTCACGTCATGAGCAGCTGTCGGAAAAGCACACACATGCATGTATTTGTGTTTGCAGGACATAGACAGATGGTTCCTTTTAAATTCCCTTTATGAAGTTTATATGAACATCACTTCATATAATGAGTATGTATCGCAAAACTTAATGAAATTCATTCACCTGCGAGAACTTCATCACGTGAATATCAGAAAGCTATCAATATTTTATGGTTCCCATTATTTCATACATCCTTAAAGTACAGGTGTCAAAAGTGAGATGAAATAGATTACCCCTAACGCAGCATGAGCAGTTGTCGTACTTGCAGAATCCTGACAGAGCCACTTCGTCAGGCAGGCACGTATGGTTACAGTATCCGTGCCTGGTGTGACACTGTAAATCCAAATCTGGACAAGGTTCTGTATCTGCAATTGAACCATAACTCTAAGATGTTTAATTAGAAAGCAATGTACCAAATGCCCGTATACATATCACGCATGTAAAGGTTTTTGTCATTATACATAAACATACATTATTCCTCCAGTATTTCCTTCTTTTAATGAGCAACGAGTTCAATTTCATTCTAAAGAAATAAAAGAAAAGGAATTGAAAGCTTTACCCTTGACGCAGCAGGAGCAGTTGTCGTATCTGCAGAGCCCCGACAGAGCCACTTCGTCAGACTTGCACTCGTGGTTGCAGTATCCACCGGTGGCGTTGCACTGCATGTTCAGATCTGGACACGGGTCTGTTTAGGCAGTGAAAATGGATTAGTAGTTAGATAACGTAAAATCATAACAGTCATAGTGATTATTAGGAATGTTATCAATAACGCTAATAAAATGTATGTAGGTGTATAAATACATATACATATACTTGATATATACACATATGTGTAAATGAATATACACATGTATATATGTGTATATAATACATATATGTATATACACATACATATATTTTATGTAAAATAGGATACGCACACATCTATAGATATATGTGTGAAAATATGTCAACATGCATACATATGAAAATAGATACTGCTGAATATAGTGAGCACGTATAAGTCTTTACTACATTACGTAAATATCATTTCACTGTCAATTATTTTACTTTATTGTTGCATGTAACATTCTTGAAAGTACGGATTTTAAAAAAAATTAAAACAGTTGCCCGGCGCTTTGAAAATGATGATATTTTATGATACTGATAATGATAAAGATGTGTACTGGATAGACAGGAGACTAATGACAACATAGAGATGAAGTAGAACCAAAGATGACTGAGGTGAATGTTTCTGCCATTGATATGAAGAGGTGTGAAAATGCATTGGAGTAGCGAGGGTTAAGATTATCGTGCTTTTATTGATGCAATGTTGCAGAAAATGTCTTGTAACGCATTTTGTTTGAAAAATTGCGTAGTTATGACTTAGAAAGCTTACTTATTGTTATTACTCCAGGAAGGTAGTAGGAAACAATAATATATAGGGATAAATATATGATCATTGTAAATTAATAGATGAATGTATAATTAGTAATAACACACCTGAAATCCAAAAATCGAAGACTACAATGATAATTATCACTATTATCTATCATATAATCATACCATCGATTTGTTTGTCAGTTATCTGTTACATTTCTAATTATCATGGAAATAATATGATACGATAATATGATTCAATCAATACATAAAAAATACCTTTGACACAGCAGGAGCAGTTGTCGTACTTGCAGAGCCCCGACAGAGCCAGTTCGTCATCCATGCACTTGTGGTTGCAGTATCCACCGGTGGCGTTGCACTGCATGTTCAGGTCAGGACAGGGATCTGCGTCGGAAGCGGAAACGGATTAGTGTCAATTACTGAATGATGGGTTAATACCGATAGCTTATGGGTGATTTGTAATTATGTAGTAAATGATAATGAATACAGAAATAAAAGAAAATTAGAGAGTGGCAATATATTACCAAGAAAGGAAGATAATTCATCATAAACATTTATAAGATAATATTGTAATTATTTATAGCATTGTTTACGATGAGAAAGACATAATGTTGCTAATAATTCTGCGCTAAAAAGCATATTTGACCAAGGTGAACGTGTCAATCAGATGACAAAGATATGAAAATAATTAGGAATATTACTATCACCTTAATAACCATAATAATAATGATTCCGGGAGTAACGATCATAATGATAATAAAAACACTAAAGAAATAAAATCATTAGAGAGATACACAGCGTAAGGAAACCAAAAGGAACGGAAGATTTTGAATAATTGCGCTATACAGATTTCCATACTGAATGACTTCTAAGACAGATTTCCATACTGAATGTCTCTACTTCTAAGACAGATTTCCATACTGAATGTCTCTACTTCTAAGACAGATTTCCATACTGAATACTTCTAAGACAGATTTCCATACTGAATGTCTCTACTTCTAAGACAGATTTCTATACTGAATGTTTCTGCTTCAAATACAGAAAGGCGTGCCAACGAAATGGATATCCAGGGTTATTACAATTCCTTCCTCTACTGCAAAAACTCTGAAAGACTAGCAGTTTAGAAAGAGACTAGCAGTTTAGAAAGACTAGCAGTTTAGAAAGAGACTAGCAGTTTAGAAAGACTAGCAGTTTAGCTAGCAGTTTAGAAAGACAGTTTAGAAAGAGACTAGAGTTTAGAAAGATAGCAGTTTAGAAAGACTAGCAGTTTAGCAGTTTAGAAAGAATAGCAGTTTAGAAAGACTAGCAGTTTAGAAAGACTAGCAGTTTTAGAAAGACTAGCAGTTTAGTAGCAGTTTAGAAAGACTAGCAGTTTAGAAAGACTAGCAGTTTAGAAAGACTAGCAGTTTAGAAAGACTAGCAGTTTAGAAAGACTAGCAGTTTAGAAAGACTAGCAGTTTAGAAAGACTAGTAGTTTAGAAGAGACTAGCAGTTTAGAAAGACTAGCAGTTTAGAAAAGACTAGCAGTTTAGAAAAGACTAGCAGTTTTATAGCAGTTTAGAAGAGACTAGCAGTTTAGAAAGACTAAGCAGTTTAGAAGACTAGCAGTTTAGAAAAGACTAGCAGTTTAGAAAGACTAGCAGCTAGTAGTTTAGTAAGAGACAGTTTAGATAGGTTTAGAAAGACTAGCAGTTTAGAAAAGACTAGCAGTTTAGAAAGACTAGCAGTTTAGAAAGACTAGCAGTTTTAGCAGTTTTAGAAAGACTAGCAGTTAAGAAAGACTAGCAGTTTTAGAAGACTAGAACAGTTTAAAAAAGACTAGTCTTCTTTCTAAACTCTAGTCTTTCTAAAACTGCCTAGTCTCTTTTAAACTGCTAGTCTTTCTAAACTGCTAGTCTTTCTAAACTGCTAGTCTCTTAGTCTTTCTAAACTGCTAGTCTTTCTAAACTGCTAGTCTTTCTAAACTGCTCTTTCTAAACTGCTAGTCTTTCTAAACTGCTAGTCTTTCCTAAACTGCTAAAACTGCTAGTCTTTCTAAACTGCTAGTCTTTCTAAACTGCTAGTCTTTTCTAAACTGCTAGTCTTTCTAAACTGCTAGTCTAAACTGCTCTCTTTACTAAACTACTAGTCTTTCTAAACTGCTAGTCTTTCTAAACTGCTAGTCTTTTTAAACTGTAGTCTTTCTAAACTGCTAGTCTCTTTCTAAACTGCTAGTCTCTCTAAAACTGCTAGTCTTTCTAAAACTGCTAGTCTTTCTAAACTGCTCTTTTCTAAACTGCTCTTTCTAAACTGCTAGTCTTCTCTAAACTGTCTTTCTAAACTGCTAGTCTTTCTAAACTGCTAGTCTTTCTAAACTGCTCTAAACTGTAGTCTTTCTAATAGTCTTTCTAAACTGCTAGTCTTTCTAAACTGCTCTTTCTAAACTGCTAGTCTTTCTAAACTGCTAGTCTTTCTAAACTGGTCTTTCTAAACTGCTAGTCTTTCTAAACTGCTAAAACTGCTAGTCTTTCTAAACTGCTCTAAACTGCTAGTCTCTTTCTAAACTGCTAGTCTTTCTAAACTGCTAGTCTCTTTCTAAACTGCTACTTTCTAAACTGCTAGTCTCTTTCTAACTGCTAGTCTTTCTAAACTGCTACTCTCTAAACTGCTAGTCTTTCAGAGTTTTTGCAGTAGAGGAAGGAAATTGTAACCCCTGGATATCCATTTCGTTGGCACGCCTTTCTGTATTTGAAGCAGAAACATTCAGTATAGAAATCTGTCTTAGAAGTAGAGACATTCAGTATGGAAATCTGTCTTAGAAGTAGAGTACTGACATTCAGTATGGAAATCTGTCTTAGAAGTAGAGACATTCAGTATGAAATCTGTCTTAGAAGTAGACATTCAGTATGGAAATCTGTATAGCGCAATTATTCAAAATCTTCCGTTCCTTTTGGTTTCCTTACGCTGTGTATCTCTCTAATGATTTTTTTCTTTAGTGTTTTATTATCATTATCATTGTTACTCCCGGAATCATTATTATTATGGTTATTATGGTGATAGTAATATTCCTAATTATTTTCATATCTTTGTCATCTGATTGACACGTTCACCTTGGTCAAATATGCTTTTTAGCGCAGAATTATTAGCAACATTATGTCTTTCTCATCGTAAACAATGCTATAAATAATTACAATATTATCTTATAATGTTTATGATGAATTATCTTCCTTTCTTGGTAATATATTGCCACTCTCTAATTTTCTTTTATTTCTGTATTCATTATCATTTACTACATAATTACAAATCACCCATAAGCTATCGGTATTAACCCATCATTCAGTAATTGACACTAATCCGTTTCCGCTTCCGACGCAGATCCCTGTCCTGACCTGAACATGCAGTGCAACGCCACCGGGGGATACTGCAACCACAAGTGCATGGATGATGAACTGGCTCTGTCGGGGCTCTGCAAGTACGACAACTGCTCCTGTTGTGTCAAAGGTATTTTTTTATGTATTGATTGAATCATATTATCGTATCATATTATTTCCATGATAATTAGAAATGTAACAGATAACTGACAACAAATCGATGGTATGATTATGATAGATAATAGTGATAATTATCATTGTAGTCTTCGATTTTTGGATTTCAGGTGTGTTATTACTAATTATACATTCATCTATTAATTTACAATGATCATATATTTATCCCTATATATTATTGTTTCCTACTACATTCCTGGAGTAATAACAATAAGTAAGCTTTCTAAGTCATAACTACGCAATTTTTCAAACAAAATGCGTTACAAGACATTTTCTGCAACATTGCATCAATAAAAGCACGATAATCTTAACCCTCGCTACTCCAATGCATTTTCACACCTCTTCATATCAATGGCAGAAACCTTCACCTCAGTCATCTTTGGTTCTACTTCATCTCTATGTTGTCATTAGTCTCCTGTCTATCCAGTACACATCTTTATCATTATCAGTATCAATAAAATCATCATCATTTTCAAAGCGCCGGGCAACTGTTTTAATTGTTTTTAAAATCCGTACTTTCAAGAATGTTACATGCAACAATAAAGTAAAATAATTGACAGTGAAATGATATTACGTAATGTAGTAAAGAGTTATACGTGCTCACTATATTCAGCAGTATCTATTTTCATATGTATGCATGTTTACATATTTTCACACATATATCTATAGATGTGTGCGTATCCTATTTTACATAAAATATATGTATGTGTATATACATATATGTATTATATACACATATATACATGTGTATATTCATTTACACATATGTGTATATATCAAGTATATGTATGTGTATGTATACACCTACATACATTTTATTAGCGTTATTGATAACATTCCTAATAATCACTATGACTGTTATGATTTTACATTATCTGATTAAATCCATTTTCACTGCCTAAACAGACCCGTGTCCAGATCTGAACATGCAGTGCAACGCCACCGGTGGATACTGCAACCACGAGTGCAAGTCTGACGAAGTGGCTCTGTCGGGGCTCTGCAGATACGACAACTGCTCCTGCTGCGTCAAGGGTAAAGCTTTCATTTCCTTTTTTTTTATTTCTTAGAAATGAAATTGAACTCGTTGCTCATTAAAAGAAGCAAATACTGGAGGAATAATGTATGTTTATGTATAATGACAAAAACTTTACATGTGATATGTATACGGGCATTTGGTACATTGCTTTTTGATTTAACATCTTAGAGTTATGGTTCAATTGCAGATACAGAACCTTGTCCAGATTTGGATTTACAGTGTCACGCCAGGCACGGATACTGTAACCATACGTGCCTGCCTGACGAAATGGCTCTGTCAGGATTCTGCAAGTACGACAACTGCTCCTGCTGCGTTAGGGGTAATCTATTTCATCTCACTTTTGACACCTGTACTTTAAGATGTATGAAATAATGGGAATCATAAAAATATTGATAGCTTTCTGATATTCACGTGATGAAGTTCTCGCAGGTGAATGAATTTCATTAAGTTTTGCGATACATACTCATTATATGAAGTGATGTTCATATAAACTTCATAAAGGGAATTTAAAAGGAACCATCTGTCTATGTCCTGTAAACACAAATACATGCATGTGTGTGCTTTTCCGACAGCTGCTCATGACGTGACAATGGATAGATGCCCACTTATTTTTTAATGTTTATTTTACAATTGCATTCGTATATTTATTGGAAAAGGTGGTAGAATGATAGCAACTAGACGCTCTGCGTGAATTCGTATTTGGAAATTTATAATTCCGAGATTGGTAATGATCATCTGTTAAGCCTACTTCGAATATCTATCGTGTAATGAAAGCTGAAAGTGTTCATACATCGTGGAAATGAGTTTTCGAAATGGAATTTAAATGCGATTTTCCTTGCGAGGAAGTAAATATATGTATGTGTATATGGATAAATATCTTAACAACTGACTAAACGTATAACTACACACACACTTAAATGAATACATATCTGTAACTCTGCATTTCTATCCATATTCATGCTCTTAAATAGATACATGATAATACGTGATAATAATGTGCTCTATTTTATATTACAGGATACCTTTTTAATAGAGACTAAATGAATATAATTCTTTCCCGGTCTTTACTAATTAATATATTAACAATAAAAGATATGCTACAAGGTATCAACAATATTTTCATCTTTGTTAATATCTGTAGTGAATATTTTAGCAACTATTTACTGTAACCAAGCAAACAAATATGTTTCTTTCGATTTCCTGAAAATGAATCTGATATGATGGAACTGCAGTAGTTTTATGAATTTTTTAATGTTTTTAATTTGTGTTTTTGTTGTATTCAGCTTTTTTATGATCATAGTGATTATCTTATTACTATTTTTATATTTTTCTTTGAAATATCTAAATCACGGCAGTTTAAATCCCTTGCATAGCGCAGGTAAGGCTTCAGGTCCGTAGCTGTAACTCATCAAAAGGCTTAATTATTTTGTTTTCTTTCGTCCTATATCTCTTGCCTGTTTCTTTTTCAGTTCTTGAAGTGAACCAACATGATCTGTGTTATTGTTATGGTTTTATTATCATTACTATTGTAGTAATTATCATTGGGATGTTTGTTATGATATGGTCATGCTTGCGTTTCTAATGACCTGTTTGTCTTTTACACCAGACAAAAGCTGCCTATATTTGCGATTCCTTTGTAGGCATGTTATGGCTCCATTTTCTTTTACTAATGTCTTTTTTTGTTTTTTTATTGTAACATTAGTATCATTATCATTATTAGTGGTGTCTTCCTGATTGTTACTGTACTAATTACAATTGTGGTTTAAGCTATTTCTGATGAATTACCAAGCTTTTACCTCAAGAACAATATTTTTATTCAATAGTCTTGTATTTTTTTTTCATTTGTTATCAGTTTAAATTTCCTTTGAAGATAGAAGGATCTTATTTCAACCTTATTATATCACTATCATCATTACCATTATACATATCGTTATATCTCCAGGAACAACAGACCCGTGCCCAGATCTGAACATGCAGTGCAACGCCACCGGGGGATACTGCCACCGCGAGTGCCAGTCTGGCGAAGTGGCTCTGACGGGGCTCTGCGCTCACGAAAACTGCTCCTGCTGCGTCAAGGGTAATGTATTTATCCGTTTACTCATGTATCCATACTGCTCTTATGATTATATTAAAAACAGCACTGATGATGATGATAATGTTAGTGATATTGATAATACCAATGATAATGTCAATGATGATGATAGCAATGATAGTAAATGATAACAAGAGTAATGATAAATAAATAACACTGACGGGTAAAAACATTATTATATCCATCAATGGTGTTTTCCTCATTTCTGTTATTATTGAAGCCTTTGTATCATTTGTGATCTGATGATTCACACTCTCCTTCCAGTACTTATCATTATCACCAATACTAGTATCAATATCATCATCATCATCATAATCATTCATAGTCATAGTTCATAGTCATAGTCATATAGTCATAGTTAGTTAGTCAGTCATAGTCATAGTCATAGTCATAGTCAGTCATAGTCATAGTCAGTCATAGTCATAGTCAGTCATAGTCAGTTAGTCATAGTCAGTAATAGTCATGTCAGTCATAGTCAGTCATAGTCATAGTCAGTCATAGTCATAGTCAGTCATAGTCATAGTCAGTCATAGTCATAGTCAGTCATAGTCATAGTCAGTCATAGTCATAGTCAGTCATAGTCATAGTCAGTCAGTCAGTCATAGTCATAGTCAGTCAGTCATAGTCAGTCATAGTCATAGTCATAGTCAGTCATAGTCAGTCATAGTCAGTCAGTCAGTCATAGTCATCATAGTCATAGTCAGTCATATCAGTCAGTCATAGTCAGTCAGTCAAGTCAGTCATAGTCAGTAATAGTCATAGTCATAGTCATAGTCATAGTCAGTAGTCAGTAGTCAGTCAGTTAGTCAGTCATAGTCAGTCATAGGTCATAGTCAGTCATAGTCATAGTGTCAGTCCCATCAGTCCATAGTCAGTAGTCATAGTCAGTCATAGTCATAGTCAGTCAGTCATAGTCAGTCATAGTCATAGTCAGTCAGTCCATAGTCATCAGTCATAGTCAGTCATAGTCATAGTCAGTCATAGTCATAGTCAGTATAGTCATAGTCAGTAGTCAGTCATCATAGTCATAGTCAGTCATAGTCATCAGTCATAGTCATAGTCAATAGTCATAGTCAGTCATAGTCATAGTCAGTCATAGTCATAGTCAGTCATAGTCATAGTCAGTCATAGTCATAGTCAGTCATAGTCTAGTCAGTCATAGTCAGTCATAGTCAGTCATAGTCAGTCATAGTCATAGTCAGTCATAGTCATAGTCAGTCATAGTCATAGTCAGTCATAGTCATAGTCATAGTCATAGTCAGTCATAGTCATAGTCAGTCATAGTCATAGTCAGTCATAGTCATAGTCAGTCATAGTCATAGTCAGTCATAGTATAGTCAGTCATAGTCATCAGTCATAGTCATAGTTAGTCATAGTCATAGTCAGTCATAGTCATAGTCAGCATAGTCATAGGTCATAGTCAGTCAGTCATAGTCATAGTCAGTCATAGTCATAGTCAGTCCAGTAGTCATAGTCATAGTCATAGTCATAGTCAGTCAGTCAGTCAGTAGTCATAGTCAGTCATAGTCAGTCATCATAGTCATCATAGTCAGTCCAGTCATAGTCATAGTCATAGTCAGTCATAGTCATAGTCATCAGTCATAGTCATAGTCATAGTCATCATAGTCATAGTCATAGTCATAGTCAGTCAGTCAGTCAGTCATAGTCATAGTCAGTCATAGTCAGTCATAGTCATAGTCAGTCATAGTCATAGTCAGTCATAGTCATAGTCAGTCATAGTCATAGTCAGTAGTCAGTCAGTCAGTCAGTCATAGTCATAGTCAGTCATAGTCATAGTCAGTCAGTCATAGTCAGTCATAGTCATAGTCAGTCATAGTCAGTAGTCAGTCATAGTCATAGTCAGTCATAGTCATAGTCAGTGTCATAGTCAGTCATAGTCAGTCATCATAGTCATAGTCAGTCATAGTCATAGTCAGTCATAGTCATAGTCAGTCATAGTCATAGTCAGTCATAGTCATAGTCAGTCATAGTCATAGTCAGTCATAGTCATAGTCATAGTCAGTCATAGTCATAGTCAGTCATATAGTCATAGTCAGTCATAGTCATAGTCAGTCATAAGTCATAGTCAGTCAGTCATAGTCATAGTCAGTCATAGTCATAGTCAGTCATAGTCATAGTCAGTCCATAGTCATAGTCAGTCATAGTCATAGTCAGTCATAGTCAGTCAGTCAGTCATAGTCAGTCATAGTCATAGTCAGTCATAGTCATAGTCAGTCATAGTCATAGTCATCATATCATAGTCAGTCATAGTCATAGTCATAGTCATATCATAGTCATAGTCAGTCATAGTCATAGTCATAGTCAGTCATAGTCATAGTCAGTCATAGTCATAGTCAGTCATAGTCAGTCAGTCTTAGTCAGTCATAGTCATAGTCAGTCATAGTCATAGTCAGTCATAGTCATAGTCAGTCATAGTCATAGTCAGTCATAGTCATAGTCAGTCATAGTCATAAGTCATAGTCAAGTCATGTCATAGTCAGTCATAGTCATAGTCAGTCCATAGTCATAGTCAGTCATAGTCATAGTCAGTCATAGTCATAGTCATAGTCAGTCATAGTCATAGTCAGTCATAGTCATAGTCAGTCATAGTCATAGTCAGTCATAGTCATAGTCATAGTCAGTCATAGTCATAGTCAGTCATAGTCATAGTCAGTCATAGTCATAGTCAGTCAGTCATAGTCATAGTCAGTCAGTTATAGTCATAGTCATAGTCAGTCATAGTCATAGTCAGTCATAGTCCATAGTCAGTCATAGTCATAGTCAGTCATAGTCATAGTCAGTCAGTCATAGTCAGTCAGTCAGTCATAGTCAGTAGTCATAGTCAGTCAGTCATAGTCATAGTCAGTCATAGTCATAGTCATCATAGTCATAGTCAGTCATAGTCATAGTCAGTCATAGTCATAGTCAGTCATAGTCATAGTCGTCATAGTCATAGTCAGTCATAGTCATAGTCAGTCATAGTCCATAGTCAGTCATAGTCATAGTCAGTCATAGTCATAGGTCAGTCATAGTCAGTCATCATAGTCATAGTCAGTCATAGTCATAGTCAGTCATAGTCATAGTCAGTCATAGTCATAGTCAGTCATAGTCATAGTCAGTCATAGTCAGTCATAGTCATAGTCATAGTCATAGTCATAGTCATAGTCAGTCAGTCAGTCATAGTCAGTCATAGTCATAGTCAGTCATAGTCATAGTCAGTCAGTCATAGTCATAGTCAGTCATAGTCAGTCATAGTCATAGTCAGTCATAGTCAGTCATAGTCAGTCATAGTCATAGTCAGTCATAGTCCATAGTCAGTCATAGTCATAGTCAGTCATAGTCATAGTCAGTCATAGTCATAGTCAGTCATAGTCATAGTCAGTCATAGTCATAGTCAGTCATAGTCATAGTCAGTCATAGTCATAGTCAGTCATAGTCATAGTCAGTCATAGTCATAGTCATAGTAGTCCATAGTCATAGTCAGTAGTCATAGTCATAGTCATCATAGTCATAGTCAGTCATAGTCATAGTCAGTCATAGTCAGTCAGTCAGTCATAGTCATAGTCATAGTCAGTCATAGTCATAGTCAGTCATATTCATAGTCAGTCATATTCATAGTCAGTCCATAGTCATAGTCAGTCATATAGTCATAGTCAGTCATAGTCATAGTCAGTCATAGCCATAGTCATAGTCAGTCATAGTCAGTCAGTCATAGTCAGTAGTCAGTCAGTCATAGTCAGTCATAGTCATAGTCAGTCATAGTCATAGTCAGTCATAGTCATAGTCAGTCATAGTCAGTCAGTCTTAGTCAGTCATAGTCAGTCATAGTCATAGTCATAGTCAGTCATAGTCAGTCATAGTCAGTCAGTCATAGTCAGTCATAGTCATAGTCAGTCAGTCAGTCATAGGGTCAGTCATAGTCATGTCATAGTCAGTCATAGCCTGCCTGCGAAGTGGCAAAGCTTTCTTAGTGTTCCATAACAAGATTAATCACGGTAGTTCTGAACTGCTAGTCTTTTAAACTGCTAGTCTTTCTAAACAGCTATGTCTTTTCTAAACTGCTAGTCTCTTCTAAATTGCTAGTC